TAACTCCATTAACACTGAAAATCAAAAAGAACTTCAGCAGCTTGGGACCAAAAATTCTCCAAAACACTAAAGAAATATTTGGGCTTAATCACCCCAGCCCCTTTCCTTCCCCCCCTCCTCCCCCCAAGAGGAGGAAAAAAATCACTCGCACACTCTTCAGTATAGCAGGAAAACCAGAATCAAGCTTAATTGACAAAGCAGAATGAGTTAACTACAAAGGGAAAACTGGCACCCCTCAAGAATATATATTTGACTAAATCTGCCTAACCATGCAGAAACATTGCATGTTTTATGATCAACTTTGTGTATGCCAGGCAAAGCAAGCATGAATTCTCACTGATGGTAGAAGCCAAAAACTCAAAGCTGCCGTCTCTCTCTTCATAATCCCTCAAAAATAAAGTAAAAGAACCTGTGGATATTTAGGTCAATGTACCTCTCAGGCCTTAGTATGGCTGACCACATGCATCTAACAAATAGCTAGATAGATTCTCACCAGCAAACAAAGTTTCAGAATTTGTTTAGTCAATCTTTTTAGAGGGAATAAAGTTTCTTTAGGTTGCAGGACAATATGGATAGGACAAATCATTATCCACATGTATTCCAAGTCTCATGTGGCTCAATAGTCTCATAGGTTTAAAACAGAAAAGATTGAAGGAAGTTTGAAAATTTATTACCTACGTTATAAACAAGAAATATTATTACAAGTAATTCATCCAAGTAGACAAACATAAAAAAACTAATATGACAAACCTGAAGTTCCAATAACCTATGTGTTGTAGAACCATCCATAAAACCTTTGCATTCAGCATGAAAAAGGATTTCTAAGAAAATTTGACAGTTGACACATGCATGCAAAGTGAGAACATTAACAATTGATAAATGTTTAGGCCCCAAACCGACTGATGTGTTTTTGGGATTAAAACAAAAGGAAAAAAATAACTTTTATCATGCAACCACACCAGAGAAGTGCCATTGATGTACAAGTTATACAAATTATATATTCTTTTTTGAAGCCAAAGCAAATGCATATATTTTACGAGACCAGCAAGATTTTTATCGAAAATGAGAGGGAATGCTAATCCTGAAATGACAAATGCTGAGCAAAGTTATTCACATCATTTAATCTTGCATCCATCAGAAAAAAATATGTTGTAAGACCATGGCATTTGTAAGAAGCACTTAAATTGCCAATAATATGCTGTATAACTAAAAGATCAGAAATCTATTTTTAGAGAAAAGAGAGAGAGAGAGAGAGAGAGAGAGAGAGAGAGAGTATACTTCAAGACGTCTGAATCAATCAAAATACAAAAAGGAAGGAAAACTACTTGTAGAACCTGAACCAAGAACATGCCACTTAGTGAGCAACAAAAGTTCAAATTTTCAATTAAGCTAGAGTAAAATACTTGTAAAGAAATAACAGTTCGGGCATGGTTGACCATAACACAAAGAATGCTTCCTCTTTTTTTTTGTTTTTGTCTGTTTATTTGCTTTCTCCAATTCCTACCCTTGTCTGGTTCAGGAAGGTGGGTAAACACAAAATGAGCCAGAAAAAAGAAATAATGACATGCAAGATGAGGTGTGCATTTATATAGAAAATAGAGAAGGGACAAACAGTTTACCTTGGTGCGAGGAATCAAAACATTTCGAGGGATAGGCAATCCTGTAGAGGCTGCATATTCCTGAGCAGCTAAAAGCTTCGCCTGTGTGAAGCGGGTTCCTTCTACAAAAAGGGCCAACCAAAAGGGCTGGGGAAAGTCCTTTAACCGCTGAAGACCTGACTGCAGATAGTTACACAAGATTTAATTCGACCAACAAGGAAAATAATACCAGAGAATATATACACAGATAAAAACATAAAAGTGCGCATTACACGGATGATATTATGAACTCATACACTGATGATATTATGGACTCACACATAAAAGCATATGTCCAGCAGAATTTTACACACACATACCTTTAATGTGCTTTCATCCTTGGCCCAGCTTCTTTCCAGAAAAAGATACTCCGAAAACCACATTGACCAGCCTATGACCTACAGACGTACAAAATGTTTTCTAACAAGAACAACTAGTAAAAGGGAAGAAATGAATATAAACAAATACAACAAGACAGCAACCTTTCCTGCATATTTTACAGCGAAGTAAACTAACCTCCAAGCTTTGATAATTTAAGATCTAAGAACGGGGATGCTGATCACCATGTTTAACTAAGAAGTTATAATATTATGAATAACTGTAAACAGAAGCCCAGATGATACTTTTTTTATTATAGTAGAAAACAAAATATTCAACAACATCAAAGGGATGCAACCTGTAAACAAAAGTATTTACAGCTCTAGCAAAATGACTATAGGTCCCCCAGATCCTCACTAGAATAAAATGGATAGCACATAATTAGAAAGCTTAGGGTATTTAACCAAACATCTTTAGATCTATCAAAATTAGGCCCTCTAGCCTCAGAAGCTCTTATGTTTCTCTCCTCCAAATAACCCAAAAGGTCACCGAAAAAATAAGCCTTAGCAAACGATTATCACTTTTGATATTTCCAAGCTGGCAATTCCTCCCTTACTGAACCAGCTATCTCCCAATTTAAACCCACTAGATCATATGTCAAATACCATAACCAATAAGCAGATGAATACCAAAGGAGAATAGGACTACAAGACTTTGCATCGCCCTTGCACAAGTAGCACTCATTCACCAAGATCTTTCCCCTTTTTATCAGCTTATCCAGTGCTAGTATCCGCTCTGTCACCACTTCCCAAGCAAAGAAAAAAAAACCGACCCTAGGTATTGCCCAGAGGATAATAACCAAAGAATCAACTTCTCAAGGGTTCAAATGATGCTAGTATTCATTGTGAAATTTAATGTTCCATCCTACTTCCAAAGTTAGAAAAAGAGAATAAAAATGAGAAGATTTCAATCTCGCGTTGCAACTGACAACAGCAATGTTAATGGTAAAAACATTAATTTGAAATTGAAGATTGACTCTATATGCTAACCAAATTAATTTTCATTAAAGTACCGGAAGGAATTTTGACGACTTCTTCATTACAGCCAATGCACTCCCGAGGCAACCTGATCGCTGTCATAAAAAATTTCAATCGTAAGAAAGCATGTTGTAAGCGAAGAATCAAACAAAAGAAGATTTACTTAGAGTGTACACATGTTTAATTCTACACATACATAATGGACAAAGAAATGGACATAAGTAAATGCAATGTATTCACTCAGGCATAAAAACATACAGAAAGAGTTATCTACAAATATAGCATATATACATAGTGTGCATATCAATATTCACATGCATGTGCATGTCCATCTCTCTGTGGTGTTTATAATGGCGCATTTAAGATATTACTTGTCTGCAAAAAATGAAATAAAGCTGCTCTATATAATTAAAGCACTACGCACCTGTGCTAAAACCCATCCAACAAGCCAATCAATGTCACTTTTGTGGTTGCATATTACAAGTGCATGTTCTTTACCTGAAAAAGTTCACCATAAAACAGTAAATAAGTTACTTGGAAGAAGTTTGGATAGGGAAAAGTCGAGTTCCCTGATAATGCTAACGAACAGCAAGAATAGGTCTATTGCTTAGTAAGAGCTTAAGCAATGTGGCCCTTACCCATTTGATTCAAGGTTTCCCTATCAGTGAATAGTTGGATCTGCAGCCAAAAGGACCCGAATGAATTTGATAGATTAACCATGC